AAACTGGGTTCTGTTTGTTATCTGGATGGCAGTTTTCCTTATCTCTTCCACAACATCTGCTGATAAGAGGCTGTTGAATGTCGCTGCATGGGTGATAAGAGCTGCAGCATCCCATTGGGAGATGTGAGGCCAGAGGGAGGAGCCAAGCATTCCTGCCTGGATATAACCTGGAGATTTCAAACATTCCTGGATATAATCCTGAGATTTCAAACATTCCTACCTGGATATAAACTGGAGATTTCAAACATTCCCACAATCTGAGGTTTCAAACATTCCTACCTGGATATAATCCTGAGATTTCAAATATTCCTACCTGGAAAGATTCTGAGATTTAAAACATTCCTACCCTGGATATAATTCAGAGATTTCAAACATTCCCACCTGGATACAATTTGAAATTTCAAACATTCCTACCTGGATATAGTCCTGAGATTTCAAACATTCCTACCTGGATAGAATCTGAGATATCAAACATTCCTGCCTGAATACAATCCTGAGATTTCAAATATTCCTAACTGGATAGATTCTGAGTTTTCAAACATTGCTACCTGGATAGAATCTGAGATTTCAAACATTCCTACCCCAATATAATCCTGAGATTTCAAATATTCCCACAATCTGAGATTTCAAACATTCCCACCTGGAAATAATCCTGAGATTTCAAATATTCCTACCTGGATATAATCCTGAGATTTCAAACATTCCTACCCCAATATAATCCTGAGATTTCAAATATTCCCACAATCTGAGATTTCAAACATTCCTGCCTGGATAGAATCTGGAGATTTCAAACATTCCTAACTGGATATAATCCTGAGATTTCAAATATTCCTACCTGGATAGAATCCTGAAATTTCAAACATTCCTACCTGGATATAATCCTGAGATTTCAAATATTTCTACCTGGATATAATCCTGAGATTTCAAACATTCCTACCTGGGTATAATCCGGAGATTTCAAACATTCCCACAATCTGAGATTTTAAACATTCCTACCTGGATACAATTTGAAATTTCAAACATTCCTACCTGAATATAATCCTGAGATTTCAAACATTCCTATCTGGAAAGATTCTGAGATTTCAAACATTCCTACCTGGATATAATCCTGAGATTTCAAACATTCCTACCTGGAAAGAATCTGAGATTTCAAACATTCCTACCTGGA